TACAGGCTAGAGGTGTGAGGGGTGAGAGGATTTACCAGAGACAACAAACTTTAAATTTCATAACCAATAATGCCCACTAACAAACAGGTTTGGCTTCCAAACTCTGACTGCACTTTTTTTAAAAAAGATTTATTTATTTATGTATACAGAACTGGGGTACAGGCCAGAGGTGCAGGGGCGGTGAGAGGATTCACCAGAGACAGAGTGGGGAGCAGCGGGTGGGTCAGGAGAGGTCTGCTGTGCCATGTGGGCAGGAATCGAACTTATGCTGAAGTGGCTTTAGCTTCTTAGTGCTGTGCTTTAACCTGCTGCGTCATCAGGGAGGGTCCTGACCGCACCTTTTATTTCTATTTTATTTTATTTATTTCTTTTATTTCTATTGTAAAGAATAGGTAGAGAAAGAAATAATTCTAAACCACAGTGCTGGGAATGCACAGATTCAGGAGATTACCAAACTATATGGTCCTGATCAAGTTCTTATGTAAAGTTTTAGCTTTAGGAAGTTTGCATATTCTCCTTGAGCTGTCTACGGAACTTGGGTTCCCACAGAGTCTTCTGTAGAGCCCAGGTTCCCATGTGTCTCAGGGTTGGGGGAGGAAGGTGGCTATCTTGCACTGGTTTACCCACAACCTTCTAAGTTTTAACTTCAAAATTCCATATCTAGGGAAATTCCTTTGCCCCCAGCAAAGGGTACCTAAAAAAGGCAGTGAAAGACTGGGATCCTCTCTCAACCTCCATAGAGACCCACCCCAACTTAAATCAGTTTTATATGGTAGGTTTTATATTATATTTGCAAGGTGGTTCAGGTTTTCTGGGTTTATGTTTGAAAATCAAGATGTTACTACTTGAACAATTTTATGTAGAAAAGATATTTTGATGGGAGAAATAAAGGCAACTTAAAGGCTACCTCAACAGCAGGCTACTAGTTTACAAATGCTGGTGAAGAGGCCCGGAAGCCTGTTCTCATAAACAGGGTGGACTTGTTGACAAAGCAAATATCAAATTTTGCTGTGCTGCTCTGAGTTTTGTATGAGGAAGGAAATGGGGCTTTGGCACTAAGGAAAAATAGATACGATTACTTAAAATCCTGTCCTCTCCTCTCCTCTCATCTCCTATCCTATTTGCATTTCATTTAAAATAATCCTGAAAAATGAAGAACAAAGCAGAAAAATATGATTCAATAAAGCTTCCCAACATGAAGTTCTTGGACAATATTTTCCAGCAGAGAAACAACAGTCATTAATATGTAAATGAAAGATGCTAGAGGCCATATAATGTCTTTTATCATAGATATTACAAAAAGAGCATTTCCAAACAACTGTTTAGTCAGCAAATATTTGACCATAGGAACTATCATTACCTCCCACATTTATGAAAAATAAATGAACTGATGGATTGAATGGTTAAAGGGGGAATTGTGTAAACTTCCATTTCAATGTACTTAGAAAATGAGAATAGACTACTCTCAATCACTAACTTAGTATGCTTTAAACCAAGATAGACTCAATAAAAAAATGAATGAAGCATACCTTTGGTCCTCGAATAGAAAATCCTGGTTCTCCTTTAAATCCAGGCATTCCAGGTCCTCCTCTTTCTCCCTATACATTTCAAATAATACTCAGTATCAGACTTTAGCTTGTGTGAGGAGCCACAGAGTATGCCCAAAAGATGGGCCAGCTGTGACAGGCTAAGCTGATGTCTCAAACTTTGAGACAGTACATTCTCCCTATATTTTGAATTCAATCTTAAAAAAATAAACCCTGCCAGATAGGGCTACTACACCTGTTTAGAGACAGTACCCTGAAATAACAGATAGTTAGCATAGCTCACATATTTTGACTGTAAGAGTGTCTGAGATGCTTTTAATTCTGAATGGATTGCTTTCCTCAGTTTGACTTTCAGATTATAAATCCTAGCAGAGTCATCTGAATAAATGCAACAAATTCTTATCTGCTTTAGGGTCTAGGAATTGGGAAACAGTGTAAGGTGAGGTGACAAGCTTGACGCCAAGAGCAAGAAATCTGGTTTCTATTCTACAATTTGCTGCTGGGCTTTGATATGCTTATTTGTGAACTATCAGGGTTGAATGAGATAATTTCTTGGTATTATTTCAAAACGAAAATTCTAGTTCATGAGTAATATGAATCTTTCCTCCCATATGCCAAAATCCAAGTAAAAGAAGAAGACTCACAAGCATATTCTTACCTTTGGCCCAGGCGGTCCAGGAATTGATGCTCCAGGCATCCCAAAAGGGCCCATAATCCCTGGATCACCCTATTTAAAAAAACACAAAATATTTATTATATTACAAACAGAAAAATCACATATTGGAATTATATTGGAAAACAAAGAATTATATTTCCAGTAGCTTAAAATTTTGACCTGTCTCATGGACCATGTATAACTATTTGAATATATTTGCTAAACTACCACTGAAGTTGATGTTTTAAGATTTCAGTGCCTTCAGTGAGTGCATTCCATTAATTCCTGAGTAATAGAACCTTTTTAATTCTTGTTCATTCTCTTATTAGTTCATAAAAATATGTAAATCTGGGTATTTCTCTTTTGTGTTATATGCCTGGAAGCTCAGAGGGAAATTATTGTTCTATTAAAGCAATTTATCGTCAGCCTAACTCTTTTTGTACACTTGGTAGATAAATTATATACCTTCTACTTTATAACTTTTTCCTTTGTTATTTTATCCTATGGTCCATGGCATATATCAGTCTTCCATTGTATGCTATTTCCTTTCCTTTATAGAAGTAGAGAATTATGGCTAAAAAAAAAAAAAAAAGCTGAAATTTGAAGCAGAAAAATTTAAGCATTTATCAATTTTTTATTTTCAATATTGAGTCTCAGTAAAACTCAATATGAATCAGCCAGCAATATTTCTGTCCTGTCTGGCTCTAGCACAGTGATTCACAAATTTTAGGAAATAAAGAGGATTATGCAGAGTAAAATAAAGGTAAAAGACAAATACCATATGATTTCACTCAAGTGGACTATAGATAGGGATCAGACAAAGCTAAATCTAACACATGCTAGAAATATATTACAATAGAATTCAGACTAACAGAGGGAGAGAAGGAATCAGGAGTAAGAGGGAGGCACACAATGGTCTCTGGTAGAGTATTATGTGTGCCTTAATGGTGGGTGTAGTGACGTATCCGACAGGGTGGGAACATTTTGAATCATATGTAGTATTGTACACTGTTACTTCAATTAAAAAAATACAATTTTAAAAATTTTAGGAAGAAGGGAAATTGTCAGAAGTATTTGGTAAAACAAAGTCCAGAGTTTCAGCCCCTGAGATTTTGATCTAGGGTGGCAATTATATGTATATAAGTTATAGACATAGAAACTATACAGTTCTCTTCTAGCCCCCATATTAAAGTGTGATGGTGCTTTAAAATACATCATACTTAATCTCAAACAAAGCTTTATTTTAAAATAGAGAAAAATAGTTACTTTGAGTATTTGAGAGTATATAAGACATACTCGATGTCTTAAGAGTAATTAAGACATAAAGAGTAACCATTGTTATGTACAACACATTTCATATATAGTGACTTTCTCATCATGTGCTCCTGAACCACCTTCAATAGAGGGTGTTTATTTAAGAAATGCAGATTCCTGAACTCATCCACCTAAGTCCAGATCTTTGGCATGACTCCAAGAAACAGGGACTTGAAGCCAGGTAATTGATATTAATGGTCATGGAAATTTAAGAATCACTGCTTTGCATGGGATGCTTTGTTTTCTACCTTCTCTTATCTCACTGGTCTCATTCTCAGTTGTTCTTTTTTTTTTTTAAGATTTATTTATTTATACATACAGAACTGGGGTACAGGTGGGGGGGGCGGTGAGAGGTTTCACCAGAGACAGAGTGAGGAGCAGAATAGGCAGATCCAGTGAAATACACTGCTGAGGGGAGCAGTGGGCTGTCCAGGGAGGTCTGCCACACCATGTGGTCACCCCCCTGGCCGGGGATCAGACTCATGCTGCAGTGGCTGTCCTAGCTTCATAGTGCTGTGCTTTTACCCCTTGTGTCTCCAGGGAAGGCCCTCTCAGTTGTTCTTATATAGGCTTATATTTGAACATTTCTTGACACATCCAAATGGCCTTCAATATTCTCTCCCGCTCAGTCAGGGCACACACCAAATCTTGTGCCTCACAATTTTCTTTACATCTTCCTGGGTACCCTGACCCTGTCTTGGTGGGTTTTTCAGGGTATATTTACATCACTTTCATTCCACAATATTGATTTTTGTTCTTTCTGAATAACTCCAGGTGTTGAACACTTAACAATGGACCAGGAACTGTGCTAAGTGCTTTTTTGAGGTTTAGTCTTTGCAGCAACTCTTGAAATAGATACTGTTATTGCCTCCTTTCTGTGATTGCTGAGATTGGCCCTGAAAGCTCAGAATAGAATAGGATAAGCATCTTCCTCTCCTGACCTCGAAGCATTTTACTTTTGTGGTTTTTTCAGCAAAACAAAACAGAAAAATGGTATTTTGTGTAGTCATAGCTTTATCCCAACTTCTGAATATTTGGTTATTACTAGAAAATATTGACAGATTCACTCCTAGAAGCATGTCTACTCCAATGAAGATTACAAATTGTAATCTATTCCATTCTATCATGGTCTGGAACAGTTTGATATGCAAAGACTCCTTCATTTGGGAGGCTTTGTTTTGTATTTACTGAAAAGGAAATAGGGAATCTAATTTGCAAGGGAAATCTAATATTCTCTTAAAAGCAGCCACAATCACAATCTCCCCAAAGCATAAATAGGAATATAAGAACCATACCTTTGGCCCTTCAGGCCCTGGAAATCCCCTCTGTCCTTGATTTCCTTTGCTTCCTTTTTTTCCTTCATCACCCTGACAAAATAATATAAAAATACAGTTGTTGCATTAACAAACCCTCCTCCAGCTTATAACAACCATATCAAGGTTATAGTCTTGACTAACATCAATTTTAAGCCTATACCCCAATGCTAGCTCAGCTTATAGGGTTTGTCAATGTTCTTGATCAGGTTGAATGACATTAGAATGGTTCACACTTCACTGCTTAATCGAGGTGGTTTATTTATTTATTTTTTTTAAACTCTGAGTTCAGTATCTTTCTTTGGAGACTTATATTTGAATCACAGTTGTGATTTTTGCATGGCTGGTCTATTAACAGATGATTCTGAGACATTTACAGTTTTTTCCTTAGAAAGATACCCTTTCTTCTCACAACTTCAGTAACTAACTACAAGTTTCTGTTTTCCAAAAGTATATTCTAGAGATGATCATTATTTCTCCTAATGATATTAGGCAAGTATTTCTAAAAAATTTTTTGGTATGATGTTAAATAGGTGAGCCTCCCCCCAAATAAAGTAAGGATCTCATATTCTGGCAGTTCAAAGATTGTAATTTGTGAAATTCCAAAAATATATTTAAATTTCAAATTCTCACATTTAAGGTACGGATTTAATTTTAAAATTTTCATAACACATAATGCTTTTTAAGTTATCAATCACTATTTCAATAGAATTATAAATAGAACATTAGTAACTATGCAGTTTTTATTTCTACTTTACTCACGTAATTCATTAAGTTTTTATACAGCTATTGATAACTATGTTAAAGCTGCAGAAACATCTATATATTTGAACCTATAAGATACATCCGTGTGGTCTTATTGATGATTTTGGATATTCTCATCTTGACATGTAAAGATGTTATCCCAGGTGCATTCTGACAATGTGTAAAATAGATTTAAGCCAAGTTATGAAAGTGAAACTGCCATTTAATAAGTGATGTGTCTTTTTAAAAAAGATTTATTTATTTTTTTCATACAAGAACTGGGGTGTAATCCAGAGATGCAGGAGGTAAGAGGATTCACCAAAGACAGAGTGGGAAGCAGAACAAGCAGATTAACTGAAATACACTGCTGAGGGGAGCAGCAGACAAGACAGGAAAGATCTGTGTCAGCTTCCTAGTCCCAGGGGAATTGAACTCCTGCAGTTGCTGGCGACAGCTTGATTATGCTGTCTTTAAACACCTCACCATCAGGGAGGCCCCAAATGTGATATATCTTATTACTGTGTGAAAGTCTATAAATATTTGAAGAAAATGGTGGACTTCTAAGTCTCAAGGATATTTTTTCAATGCTTCTTTCCCCTTTTAATGTTCTTAAATGTCAGTCAGGATAGCTATTGAGAAAACATGTGTTGAGCTATTAAGCTGGGCTTTATGAAATATTAAGAATATAAAAATGAGCAATACATACTTGCACACAGGTAGTATTCATAATTTTTAAAAAGTAAACTTTTGGCATAATAAGTACAATTTATCTTCTCTTAGATTTAGTTCTTTTTTTTTTTTAAGAATCCTTTATTGTTTGTTTGTTTGTTTTGCATAGAGGAACTGGAGTGTAGGCCAGAGGTAAAGGGAGTAAGAGGATTCACCAAAGACAGAGTGGGGACCAGAACAAACAGATTTACTGAAGTACACTGCTGAGGGGAGCAGCCAGTGAGATGGGAGGTCTGCAGTGCCTTGTTGGTCAGCTCCCTGGCCACGGATCAAGCTCAGTCTTTGCCAGGGAGGGCCCTCGCGGTGATAGAGCTGAGACTTAACCTCTGTTCTCACAGGGAGGCCCAAGATTGGTTTCTTTCTTTTTTTCTTTAAAGATTTATTTATTTATGCATACAGAGCTTGGATTCAGGCCAGAGGTCCAGGGTGTGAGAGGCTTCACTAGAGACAGTGAACAGGCAGATCAATGAAGCACACTGCTGAAGGGAGCAGCGGGCGCTGCGCCATGTGGATCACCTCTGGGGCAGGGAATCAAACTTGCACTGAAGCAGCTGCGGCTGGCACGCAGTGCTGCGTCCCAACCCAATGCCACCAGAGAGTGCCATAGATTGGTTTCTTAATATAAGGACCAGAACAGCCAATGAGCTTCCCTCTGGGGTCAGTTCCTTACCTTGGAGCCTGGATATCCCTTCCCAGGCGGTCCTTCTGGTCCTCTTGGGCCTGGAAGTCCTGCTTCTCCCTAGAGGAAAGGACACTGAAGTCTGAGCTGACCATTCCCAGGCAGAATGTGTCAGCCCACCTTGTTTTCTCCTGAGGCCAGCGATTCTTTGTTGAGACCCTCCAAAACTGACCAGACCTGGAGTTCAGTGTCAAAATTGAGTTGGAAGTTTACCAAACTGAATAAATTCACATCAAATTACAGGTTAGTTCAGAGCAGCTGAAATAGCATGAAAATTTCTAATTTCTCAGCCAATTTCTAGATCAATAAGCATGCTTTCCTTTGGCTTTTCATTCATTTGGTGGTTTGTGGTTTAAAAAAAAAAAAAAGCCTTCAGCCTTTCCATCTGCTGTTTTTACTACCCAGGTTGAAAAGTGAATTTTCAAATGTCAATTTAAAATATTTTAGGAAGCCTTTCTGATGGGCTTACTTCCTGGAATGCATTTGCAGAATCTCCATTTGGAGGGGGAAATGTGTTTTTCCTCTAAGTTTAAATTAAAAGGCTTTCTAGGATTCCCAAAAGGATTAGGTCGCTGGAGGACACAAGTGTCAAAATACCAGAGAGAAGGCAGAGGGCAAGAGATGCTGCGCAGCTTTTCTACCTGAACCGAGAAAGGAAAAGTTAGAATTGTGGGACTTTTTTTCTTATGAAAACTACATTTATCCAGGACGGCTTATATTAGGGTCCTCTAAGACAAAATATCAGTGTGATGCGATGATTTTTTACCACAATCCTATGAAAACCCTTATTACCTTCTTTCCTGGGGTTCCATCTTCCCCAGGTACTCCCGGTTGTCCTGGGAACCCCGTTGAGCCCGGCGCCCCCTAGTGGATGAGCAAAGGTTTATTTCTTCTCAGAAGTTTACGTGTCATGCACCTACCTGCCTTTGTGTGCTTAAGATTAGATATCTATTATTGCCTGAGAAAAGTCTCTGAGGTGAGATATCTCAATAGCAGTTCATACCCATTAAACAATTTGACCCTGGTAAGTTATTGTGATTTTCCAATTTTAATTGTAGCTACAAGTTGGAGAAACTTGTATGGCATCTTATAGAAAACAAGAAGAATGTTTATGGAGCTATTGTTGGCAATATTCTTGACAACTTAAGTGTCCATCAACAGGAAAATGGATAGATATAAAATGAGGTATTTTCATACAATAACGTACCCAGAGCAATCAAAATGAAAGAATTAGAGGCATCTGATTGCCAAACTGAGATTTCAATAATTAATAAGGCAACAAGGTACCTTGCCAGGGGAGTGCAATGTCCAATGGAAATATAAAACAAGCCACATGTATAATTCAAATTTTTCTGGTAGTCCCAACTTAACAGAAACAGATGAAAATAATTCAAATAAAGTATTTTACTTTCTCTAAAATATTAGAAACACATTATTTCAAAATGCAAATAATATACAAATGTATTAGTGATGTAGCTTATTATTTTGGTACTGAACTTTATGATGCAGTGTATATACCAGCACAGTTCAGCTAATATCTGCCACATTTCAAATGCTTATTAACCACACATGGGTAGAGACTACAGTATTGGAGAGTGCATTTGTAGAGGGTACAGTAAGGAGAAAAATAGTTCCCAAAACATGCAAGTTGAGATAAATGGGAAAAGTGAGTGAAACACACAGCATGCCAAGATATAAACTAACTGGGTAGCCAGAATGAGAAGGGCAGACTTTAGATGTAGGGATTGAATTTCTGAGGATGACAAGGAGTCAGTCACAAAACAAAAGAAGGGAAACCATACTATGCTGGGTACTATATGTCTTAAAATACGACAGTTAATAATGTACCTAAGGAATAACTCTATGCCAAGAGATGCTAATTAAACAAATAAAAACAAACAAATAGCAGCCATTAAAATAAGTTAAGATTTGGTTTTTCTAACTATGGAGTTATATTGAGCATCAAATCCTTTCTGAACAAATAAATTGGTGAAATAACACAACAAATAAGCATGAATATATTGCATTTGGATAAGTAAGAGGTTACATACATTATCTAGATGTTTCTTAACAGCACAGTCAACTCACCTTTGGACCTTGTACTCCAACTCCCACTGGTCCCCTAGGACCTGTAGGTCCTGTCTGGCCTACTTCTCCCTAGTGAGGAAAGAATACTTGAAGAGTGATTGAATATAGTTGTGAAATAAAAATAATAGATTCTTGCCTTTGATCTTCTCAAGTGTTGTCTTATATCAACAAATTAAGATAAAACTGTTTCATGAATTTTCTCACTACATAATTTATGTGTATACTTACGTATATTCAAATACAAATATACATTTTTAAGGAAAAGTGTATTTGCCTGAACCTCCTTTAGATGACTGGATTTTCACCAAACTTTGATTATAATGGTCTGACTTAAAATATAAGCTATAGGATAGGTAGCATACTTAAATTTGATTTAAGGAATCCCCATGTGGAAGGCTATTCCAAAACAACTAAAATTGGCATCTGAGAAGCCAAAGTAACTGCTGAGCAGTACCACAATCAGAGAGAACACTTGAGCTTTCTGTGATAACTTCAAATAAAAAATCTAGAGGCGTGTTAATGGTATTCAATTGAGCAAGTTTTTACAGAGACTTTCTAAGGAGTGTTCCAAGAGTGGGGACTCTAACTATTATAGTTATTTAATAAAGATGAGTGAATTTGTGAAGCAACACTAAGGTCAGCATTAAGGTTAAATAATAACTTGTGTGCCTTTCTCCAAGGAATAAATAGCAGTTCTAATTTAAGAGATAATCAGTTCCACTTTAAAGAGAGTTTTCATTTGTTAGGATATTTATGACTCAATACCTTTAAGTAAATTGTTTAATATTTGGACTTACTGTGGGAGTACTGCTGAGAATGGAAATTAGTCAATTCAGAGAGGCATATAACTACTGGCAGTCTCTACTGATATTGCTGCTTGAGATGCAAGAATAGAATCTAATAAGTAAAAGTAATTTAAAAAAAAAACAAACCAAAAGATTAGGTAAATAAAAACCCTTGAGTGCATATTACAGTATCTAACCTATTGAGATACCAGTAGCATTCTCCATTAAGTAAATGTTTTTGATTTTCTTTTTACTTTCCAACTATAATTTCCTTTTTTATTGTGGCAACATTGGTTTACAACACTGTATAATACTCAGAGATACAGAATCGCACCTTTTCAGATGAATGTTACCACATGTTACTCACCAGCAAGGCACCATAGTCTTCGACCCAAGTCCTTTGGGCCCCTTCACATCCTATTGTTCACCCTCTTCTCCCCCTCTGGTAGCCTCAACTCGACAGTTAAGACTTCGAAGGTTTGTTATTAATTTGACTCTGTTTGACCCTTTGTTTTGTTTCTCTGTGTTCTACATGTACACAAAAGCAACTGATATTCTCCTTATGACTTATCTTACTTAGAATTATCCACTCCAGTTCTGTTCTTATTGTCACAAATGGCAAAAGTCGGTCTTTCTATTTTTTCTGTAGCCGAATATATCTCATTTTTCTAATTCACTCATGTATTCCTTTTTCTCTACATTCTCATCAACACTTATTATTTCTGGTCTTTTGACATGGGTCATTCTCTCAGGCATGTGATGACATCTCATTGTGATTTTGATTTGCACTTCCCTGGGGATAAGTGATTATGAACATTTTTTCATAAGCCTACTGGCCACATGTGTGGCTTCTTTGGAGTAGTATCTATTTAGCTCCTGTGCCTTTTTTTTTTTTAAGATTTATTTATTTGTGCATACAGAACTGGGGTATAGGCCAGAGGTGCAGGGGTGGTGAGAGGATTC